CCGAGGTAGCCGTCGTTTTGGGAAACTTGCGACTACAAGCCCTGAGATCGTCAGGAGCCAGCCGAGGTAAGGAGGGAAGAGGCTGAAAGGTGTCCGACTGAGGCCGAGGGTGCGAGTGAGCGTGCCACAGTTGCTCGTACTGCTTAGCTTGTGCATCGAGGAGAGCCTGAGGATCAGCCACGACGATACCGTTGGAAAGCAAAGCCGTAGTCGGAGCCCACGGAGTGAAACCACGAACGACCGAGTGCGCACGCTTCGCACCTGCTTCAACCTTGTCGAGCAGCCACTGCTTCCATCCACTTAAAGCTTCCTGTTGGGCGATGGCTTCAGCAGCAGCCACAGCGACATCGAGCTGAGCACACAGAGCCCCGTAGACGTCGGAGTCGTGAGAACTCTGCACTGCTGCACAAACTTCATTATACCACCGCTGATGATGAGCCAATCCTTCATGCAAAAAGGGTGGTGGATTCAGGACGACCCGACGTAGCTCCCTGGCCTGCCTGACCGCAACGGGGCCAGGAGCGTCGAGTAGCGAAACGTACATTCTGAACTTCAAACTCAGCCACTTGATTGCATAGCACAGGGGCTGTCGCACTGGGGGCTTCCTGTCCTGCTCCAAAACCAAAGCCCAGTACATCTGCGGGGCCTTGGACTAGGAGGAGTCGGCTTGCGGGGGGGGTCGGGCGCGCGGGAGGCGGGCGGAGGCGTCGCCGGCGCCCCGCGCCACCGGGGGGCTCCATGTTGGATTTCCCAGGCTGCGCCAAGCGCGCGCACGCGTTACTTGCCCGCGCGCCCACATTCGCGCAAGCGCATCCTAAGAAACTATCATGTGGATCGGAACCGGGCGACAGAGGGCATGGTGCGCCTGTCAAGGCTGCTTTTGGGAGCGATTGCTGCTGGCTCGACACGCGCGATATGCATGTGACGACTTTTGGAGGACGGGCGCTGCGCCGTCCAATCCAACGCGGCAATGGCGCGGTCCGGGGCGCGCGGCCGTCGCGGCACACGGCGGTCGACGTCACCGCATGGGGCGCGCGATCGGCCGCGCAGTATTTGCGGGCCATTCGGCCGACGCTGCCGGGTCGCCCTCAAACAGCCCGCCAGGAATACGCAAATGCGCAATGCGCCAGCGCGCCGCCAGGATATCGCCCTGAAAACAACCTGTTCACTCTGAACGCCGACTGCGCGCCTCGCTGAACCAGCGAAGTCGCGCGGCGCGCCCGCGCCGCGCACCCGCCGCAGTGAACTCAAGGAACAAAAGGCCTCTCTCCATGAGTTCTGGCACCGATTCTGGCCTACTTCCCCGTTCTGGCCGATTCTGGTTCCATCACCGATTCCACCTTTGATTCCGTATTGATTCCGTACTGATTCTTTTGATTCCGCTAGAATCAGGGGTCGCAGTTGTGCCGATTCCGTTTTGATTCTGTACTGATTCCGTGCTGATTCCTTCGATTCCCCTGTGCCCCGGAGACCATCAGGCCGCGGCCCGAGCCCCCGCCTCGGTGGCATTGTTTTTCCAGGAGCGCAAAAGAGTTTTGAAGGGGAGGGGGGCGGGGGGGGAGGCGGAGCGATTTTTGGGGCGCATCGGGCGGCCGAGCCACAGATGTCCGGGTCCAGTGCGCGCGCCCAACATGGCAGGCGCGGGCGCGCGCGCGAGTTCTCGACCGTCGGCGCATCTGTAAGTTCATGCACCGCCCCGCGCGCCGGAATGGAAACTTGCGCTGCGGTTTCCAATTGAACGCGCGGCCGTCGCAACTGCATCGCATTGCTCAGCGCGCAAAGCGCGCGAGCAGCATGGGGGGCTTTGCGTTCTCGCATTAGAAGTGCGCGGGGCCGAACCGAACGGTCGGCGGCGCCCGCTCCTGCGCCGCGCGCGAGGCCATCGCGTCAGCGCGGGAGGCTAGAAGGGCCTGGGCCGTCGCCCTGGGGCGCGGGCACAGCGCGAGGCCTGCGCGGGCCTCTCGCGCCAAACATGCGCAACAAGGTCGGCCCGCCCGCCGGCTGGCGCTCGCGGGCGACGGCGCCAGCGCCGACTGCGAGGCCGACTGGGCCCGGAGGATTCCTGAGAGTCCCGGGAAGGGGCAGCGGGCCGCGATGGGATCGGCGCGGTCGTTGGCGCCCCCCCCGCGCCCGCCCCCCCCTGCAAGCCGACTCCTCCTACCTTGGACCGCGCTCCTAAACATGGCAGTTGGACGCCCCTCGAGTCGGCCAACTCACGCTCAGAAAGATTAGCCCAAGCCGCGTACACCGCATCCAACAAATTCTGGACAGTCTGAGTGTGCCCAGATTGCAGCACATCCAAAAGCTGCTGCCCAAGGGCCCTCGCAGAGTCCCAGTTTGGAGGCTGAGGCTGAGGCCCAACTATAGGATCCACAGGGATAGGTGGGGGTCGGCGGAACCTCAGTCCGTATAGCTGCGCCAGCTGCGGATAGAATTCCAATGACACAGGTGAGTGTGGTGATGTACACGCACCAAGCTCAACCTGGACTTTCGCCAAACCTTTAGAAAGACCCAAAGAAACCACGAAGAAATCCAGAAGGCGGGTCCCTCCAGTAGAAAGGCAAGATCCAGAAGCAGCCTCAGGAATCACCACACGTCCCCCACAGGACTTTGCAAACTCAGACTCCTGAAAAACCGGCGGTTCCATATTAAAATCAGCTCCCAGGATATAAGGTCCAGCCCACACCTCCAATGCGGCGGCCACATGCGAGAGGAGCCCCAGGTTGTGGTCGCTGAGCCCCTGGGAGTGATGGAGGTACGCGCTGACGACGTACAGCGCGTCGCCGCCTGGGATATTGACGATGGCACCTGCGACCCTGTGAGGGACCAAAACGTGACCACCTGGCGGGGGCCGAAGGCCCAGGAAATCTCTGACCATGATGCCTACTCCAGCCGACGTCCCCCCCGACGGGGTGGAGAGGGCGGGAGTGAGGAGAATTTGCCACCCGTGAACCTTGGCCCAGGACGATGCTCGGTCAGCTTCATCACCGAGGCGCAGGTGGTGCTCCTGGATCAGGATGATGTGCGACGTGCAATGCGGGAGCCATCGCTGCAGCGATGACCATGCAGTGCAATTGAGCGTCTCTACTTTCAGGGAAAATTGAGCTCTCCCAGGGGGTGGGGGTGGGGTGCAAAACTTGTGGAGGGGGGCGGCTGCAGCCCACCCCGTCTCACGGAAACTACAGGTAGCCTGGGCCGAGGACTCCAGGGGCCAAGGCGTGAGCATCTGGCCAGGGCCCCCACGCGGGCGACAGGACGGGGCCACAAGATGCTGGTGAGACGTAGGATCAAAACTCGCCCTCCTGACCCTAGCTCTCGCTCGGGCGGCCAGAGCCTGCGACGAGGAGTTGGTCAGACGGGCGTTGGCGTAAGCCAGGATATTGTGCGAGAGACCTATGGGTGCGCCCACGCACACCCCACGCATTAAATCCTCCACACTGAACAAAATTGAGCTCGCTGGGTCCCCCCCTGCTACGCACTGGCTTTGTCAGCAGTGGCAGCAGGGGGGACACGCACTGAAGCAGCCTTGATCTGGGCCGCAGCACGCTCACGAATGCTGGTAGCCGCTGGCGTCGGAGAAGGGGCTGCTGGGGTTCCCGCGGACCGAGCAGAAGGCGGTGCAGAGTCCGCGAACCCGACCGACTTGTCCCTGTCCTTCGCCTTGGGGTCCTGGCTGGCTGTGGTCGAGTCCTGCTTCGCGCCTGCCACGGGGCCTGCAGCCGCACCTTGACCTGATGCACCCTTGCGCTTCTTCTTCGTGAGGCGAGCGACGTGGGCGGCCTGCTCGGCCTTGATGGCCTCCAGCTTCTCGAGTGCGCCAGAGAAGAGGCCCTTGGCAACGTCCTGCAGCTGGGACCGCAGCAGATCACGACGGTCAGCGATGTTCTTGCGGTCGTCATCCGAGCACTCGTAGCCATCCACGTCAAACACAGAGTCGACGTCGATGAGGTCGATGATGCTGCCAGTGCCGTCGACCACCTCCTTGATGGAGATGCGAGGTGGAGCTGGGGAGGCAGCTCGATCAGGTCGGTCACCGACCAGAGAGGCGACTGCAGCCCTGTACTCGGCGTCGGCCTGATATAAACGCTCCGTGAGCTCTGCGACCGTGTCCGCCTGCTGGGCCACCCACTGCTGGTACTGCTCGAGCTTCTGGACTTCCTTCTCCAAGACCGTCTCGAGCTCGGCGACCTTGGCACCGATGGCACTGATACGCTGCTGTGGTGGGGGATCACCAGCCTTCTGGACTTGCAGCTGCTGCTTGTAGCGTCCTGCCACGCGCTGGTCCCCTGCCTTCTCGGCCAGGCGCACGAGGTCCTCGAGCTCGGAGACCGTGAGGCTGGGGTCAACAGCAGGGCCTGCATCGCCACCGTCAGGAGGAGGAGCACGCTGAGGAACAGAGGGGCGCCGCCGCACTGAGCCTTCCAATGCAGCGTCCGCCCCCTGGCTGGGCGCCTCGGTGCGCCACTCTCCGCAGTGCTTGCAGTAGGCCATGGAGTCGAGGTTGCGCGCACAGCTGCACCATGCACAACGCCACTTGATCTCGCGCTCGGCGCGGCGGGAGGGAGGGCGGCGCACCTGCCACGGCGCAGCGGCCTGGCTGGGCGACCGAGGGGCTGCGTCAGTCGCGCCCTTGCCCTTCCCTCCACCGCTGGCGCCGCGGCCGACCGCGCGACCCTTGCCTCGCCAGAGGGCTGGGGCCTGGCCGCCGTCGCCGAGCGCCGCCGTGCCCCAGGATCCAGCACCGCCCCTGCCGCCACCGGCGAAGGCCATGGCGGAAGCGTGTCGGTGCCGATTCGAGGGACCGAGCCACTGGCTCGCTACCCCAACGCCGTCCCAAAGTTCGGAGTAGCAAGACCCACCTGGGCCTGGGACGGCTGAGGAGGAGGAGGAGGAGGAGGAGGATGAGGAGGAGGAGGAGCACGAGGAGGAGCAGGAGCAGGAGCAGGAGCAGGAATAAACCCGTCCGCCCGACGTTCCAGCTTCGTCGGCCCCCTCGTGGCCTCTATCCTGAGCTCTTCCAGGATGCCCTCCAGCTGTGGCAGGAAGTTCCTGCGGCCGGGGCGGAAGCAGAGAAAGGGGACACGAGGGGTGAGGGGCAAAAGGGCCAAGGATCGAATCGATAAGTCGGATCGGCGATCGAAATACATCGTGTCGGGGGCCCCCGAGGCTCACAAAGGGAGCGAATATAGCTAGGGGCACCGTGGGCCAAAGACACCTCTAGCAACACCCGACCTCTTGGGGGTTCTAAAATCCTCGGAATCCCCGACGAACCTCACCGCACGGTCTGTCACCACGCAGCTTTGGGGCCCTGGAAGCCTGGGTCGCCCGACACACCCTCGAAGGGACGAGAAGGAGGTGGAGGACGAGTCAGGTGGAGGAGGAGGAGGAGGAGGAGGAGGAGGAGGAGGAGGGAGGAGTCATATGGATGTGGAGGAGCTGGAGGAAGGACAAGGGAGGAGACCGGAGGAGGAGGAGGAGGAGGAGGAGGAGGAGGAGGAGAAAGAGGAAAAGGAGGAGGAGGAGGAAGAGCAGGAGGAGCAGGAGCAGGAGAAGCCCCTGGCCCCTTCCCTGCTCTTCTGGAGGAGCGGGGGAGACCGCCCTCGGGCAGAGCGCGCTCCCGCGCTACGCGCTCGGGCAGCTCGCTGAGGCGCCACGTGGCCTCTCAAGGCCTGGTCGCCCTCACCGTCGAGGACGCCTTCGGCCAGCAAACACGGAGCAAAGGGGGGCACAAACAAATCAACACACATTCCAGGGTTTCCCATATGGTTATGTCCTGGATGCCCCCTTCCTCTCCTTGATTTACAATGTTTCATACTACCTTCATCAACGTCCGCGTATGCTTGTGCCTGTGCCGAATCGGAGAATCGGAAAGAGCGTGTTCCACCGCTGCTGGCGGAAAACCGAGGGGGTCACTGGGGGTTCCCAACCCGTCCCCCCCTCCCCCCCCTCGAAAACGGCGGGGGGGTCACTATCGGTTCGAACCCCTCCCCCCTTTCCCCCCAATCCATCACGAAAAGGGGGGGGGGTCACTACTGGTTCGAACCCCCCCCCGCCGCCGGCAAACGATTCCCGCTCCTCGGAACATTTGGACAATGGTGGAGATACTGGGACAGTGGTTGGAACGGTGGTGGTGGGGACAGTGATGCGGGGACAGTGGGACAGTGGTGCGGACAGTGGTGGGGACGGTGGTGGTGGGGACTGTGGTGAGGGGTCAGCGGGACAGTGGTGGGGACAGTGGGACAGCGGTGGGGACGGTAGTGGTAGGGACAGTGGTGAAGGCGGTGGTGAGGACAGTGTTTGGACAGCAGTACAGTGGGGAGTGGTGGGGACAGTTGGGACAGTGGTGGGGACAGAGGGGACGGTGGGACAGCACAGTGGGACAGCGGCGGGGACAGTGGGAAAGTGGTGGGTACAGTGGTGGGGACCGTGGGGAAAATGGGGAGAGCGGGACCGTGGTGGGACAATGGTTGGCAGAGTGGGGACAGTGAGACACTGGTGGGGGCACTGGTGGGGACAGCGGGGACAATGGTGGAACAGTGGGAATAGTGGTGGGGACTGTGGGACAGTGGTGGTTGGGACAGTGGTGGGGACAGTGGGAGTGTGGTGGGGACAGTGGGACGGTGGTGGGGACAGTGGTGGTGGGGACAGTGGTGAGGGCGGTGGCGAGGACGGCGGCGGGACAATGGGAAATAGGTACAGTGGGGACAATGGTGGCGACAGTGGTGGGAACAGTGGGACAGCTCCATGGGACGTGGGGAGAGTGGGACCGTGGTGGGAACAGTGGTGGGGACACTGGGGACAGTGGGACGGTGGTGGGAACAGTGGGGACAGTGGTGGTGAGGACAGTGGTGCTGGGAACACCAGTGGGGGATGTGGTGCGGACGGTGGTAGGGACCCAGAATCGTTTGCTGGCGGTGAGATTGGGGGGGGGAGGGGTTCGAACCGGTAGTGCCCCCCCCCCCGGGTTTTCTGGAAGGGGGGGGGCCCGGTTTTCTGGGGAAGGGGGTTATTCGAACCAGTAGTGACTCCCCTGTTTTTTCCGAGAGGGGGGGGGATCTGAACTGGTAGTGACCCGCCCTGATTTTCCGGATGAGGGGGGGGTTCGAACGGGTAGTGACCCCCCCCGGTAAACTGGAGGGGGGGGGGTTCGAAGCGGTAGTGAGCTCCTCCCGGTTTTCCGGAGGGGGGAAGGGTAGGGGGGGGTTTTGCTGGGGGAAGGGGGGGGGGGGATCCAGCAAGGGGGGGAGTTTAGGAGGGGTGGGAGAACCCTGGGTTACGGAGGAAAAGGAGGGGGACCCCCAGGTTACGGAGGAAGAGAGGGGGGAAAAGGTGGGGATAGAAGGATGCATAAAGGTCTTGGCCGTACTCATCCAGAAGAAGACGGAAACTGTTTTGCAGAGCGCCGATAGCAATAGGGCACGCCATATAGTATAACATGTCATCCCCTCCCAAGGCTTGCCACTCACATCTGCACCCCACAGCTCAACATCGGTAGCGTCTGGTCGTATTCAGTTGACAAGATCTTTAAGACAGGCTGTAACAACAAACCCAGGAAGGTGAGCACCGAAAGTAGCAGGAGGAGGACGAGGAGGAGGAGGAGGAGCAGGAGGCGGAGGAGGAGGAGGGGGAGCAGGAGGAGGAGGAGGAGAAGGAGGGGAAGGCGGAGGAGCAAGGAGAGGGTTTTACTGCAATCTCGTTGCTTTGGCAGATTGGCTGCCGTGCTGGAGTGGCCCTCCTCTCAAACTGTCTCAGGCGAGGAGGAAGAGGAGGAAGGCGGAGGAGCAAGGAGAGGAGGAAGAGGAGGAAGACGAGGAGAAGGGAGGAGGAGGAACGCGCAGGGAGTCAGCAGCCACGGAGTCCGGATGCTCGTCTCGACCCAGCCCTCCTGGATGGCGGGGGGGCGGCAGGGGTTAGAGAGAAGGAGGAGGGGAGATGGAGGAGGCCCCAGATCTCAGATTCTTGTTCAGTCGGGGCCACCACTTCGGGCCCCAGGGCCATCAAGCATGGATGCGGGGGGGCCAACAGCTTGCCCTCGGGATGCGATCAAGGCCCCTGGGGCCGCGGATTGCACAACTCACATCGGCGGATGACAGGGGAGGAAGGAGGGGGAGGAAGAGGCATTAGAGGAGGCTGGCAGCAGCCTTATTTTTGGACGCCCAACATGGGTACGAAAAAAAATGATACAATGCCCAACAATACGTGTTGTCCCACACCAGCAGCGGCCGCTGTTGGGCAGGCGGTCTTCTGTCTCAAACGGACACAGGCCGCGGCGGCGCGGACAGCGAGTCCTGTTCAGAATGAACAGGAACTGCTGTTGGGCAGTGTACCCATTCTTTCCGTACCCATTTCATTCGCGCAGATTATTTGTTATCGCTGGCCAGAGTCGGTGTTGTCCTGTCTAGCCCAGAGCCTTACTGCACTGGAAGAGCGCAAGAGCCCAGAAGCTCATGTATGGGCAGCGTCAAGAATTATAGGAGGAGGCTTGGAGGGGATCAGATAGGGGCTGCGTCCAGACGCGCTCCTCACTCCCCCCTTGTTTCTGTCGCAATCACCCCTCGTCACCCTCGCCCACCCTGTCCAGACCCACCCCCTCTCCCTGCCTATGGCGGCGCGCACAGGGGGGTAGGGGTAGGGGGGAAGGCTTTTTAGAATGAGGCTCCTTCTTCGAACCCGACATTTACAGACAAGGTCCGCGCCTTCTGACAAGCAGCCTCCTCCTGAAAAGCCTTCCCCCTTCCCCCACCCTCTCTGCGTGTGGCCGCTCCCTCCTCTCGCAAGTGGTGCGGCGGCAGAACAATTTGCGGGGGAAGAACGGTACGACATCGCATGTGCCGTCCGCCATCGTGGGCGCACGTCCCCCGATGGCAGGAACCAACTTGACATAGCCCACGCAGTTGCGGATCAGAGTGAGAGGCGGCGGAATTGTCGGCCCTCTGCGAGGTTCTGAAACTGCCCGCCGCGAGCGCCGCATGTCGCACATACAGTCGGGGCGTTGACCTAAGGAACCCTAAATAAGAAACGAGACCGACTTTCCCCTAAGTAAGACTTCTATTTCCAATGGAAAACCCAAGGAAAACTGTCAAACGATCAAGGAACACCGAGCCCCTCCCCAACGAAAAAGGTTCTTTCTTCAGCGCCCCGACTGTATTGCGCAACGAGCCCGCCGCAGGTGCGTATCTTCGTCAAAGCCATGCGGGGGTCGCAGGCAGATCGAGGATCGGTCGTGGGGTGCTTCGCGGCGGCTCGCAGGCTGGTCGTGCCGACCAGCCATAACTGGGGGAGCTGTGGTCCTTACCCCCCCGGGGGAACCCATCGCATCGACGATCTCTCGAGAGGGGTGTCGAAATCGACGGGTCCCCCAGGGGGGTAAGGACCACAGCTCCCCCAGTTGTGGCTGGCCTGTCGTGGGCAGGTCGCGGGCGAGGATGAGGACAACACACACACACAACAAACGAACCACCAGCAGTGAGAATCCTCGCCGCGGAAGCCCACTCCAGGCACGCCCCCAGGGATGAAAGACCACTCTGCCCCCACACTCTGATACAAACACATACGCGCAGACATACACGTCTGATATGTGTACGTCTTTTCTTCGCCCGCTGAGAGGAAAGCATGACAAGGGACGAGCTGGATGTAGGAGAAGGGGGGAGGGGCAATGGCAACTTGGCCTGCCATCCCTCGCCTTCCTTGCCCGCCCAAGAAGGCAGGCCTCCTCCTCCTCGTACTCTCCTCCTCCTCCTCCTCCTCCTCCTCCTCCTCCTCCTCCTCGTCTTCCCCTCGAATGGAGAAACGTCGCGCAGAAAGAACTGCACACACGAAGCTGCTGCATGCATGAATTGCCATGCTTCAAGCAAGCGGTGAACCCGTGACTGGCCGACACGCGTTGCCCGCATGCATGTACATCCCTTTTTATTCGCACGCAACTATGTGCGCGCTGATGCGTGTACACCAACGGTGGCATGAATTCAGACGCGCATGAAGTGGAAGCGCGTCCAGATGTTTGGCTTATTCGAACGTTTGAGGCACACGTCACCCTGCACGGACGGCCATCCTACACACCAAGTTCGATGGACCGAAACTTTGACAGAAAGAGTGAGGACGAAGCCCCACAACATCTCTTTACATGTTGAACAGGGCTCTTTGCAAAGGACAACTTGTTGTTGGGCATCGCCCCAATTCCTCAGGTCGGACGAAACGGACGGACAGGAAGACTTTGGCGAATGAGCTGCACGCAGCTGGCTTTCCAGGCGCCTCCTGGCGCCGATGGCGGCCATGTCCCGAGGAAAAAGCCCAACGACGGGGCCGAAATCAGCTGCTTTCGGCTGTAGCCAACGATCGGACAGCACGCATATGCCCGCTTCGAACAGCGAGCGAGGGCCCCGCGCCAATGCCCAGAACGCCCACCGCAAACGGCTGACCGAAGCCCACCGGCTTGTTTTGAACCTCCTCTGAGAGCGACAAGAAATATTCTTGGGTCCAGGGCTGACGGGGACAACTATTCTTGGGCCCGTCCTCTGAGAGCGACACGACATATTCTTGGATCCGCCGTCTGAGAGCGACACGAAATGTTCTTGTACAGGGACAATCTCCCGCTGCAGTTGCTGAACGGGCAGAACAGAGCAACCTGCAACGCGTATGTCTCGGATAACCACGTTGTGTCTCGGTCCTCCTCACCCTCCCCATCCCCCCCCCCTCCTCCTCCTCCTCCCTCTCCTCCTCCCTCTCCTGCTCCCTCTCCTCCTCCTCCTCCTCCTCCTCCTCCTCCTCCTCCTCCTCCTCCTCCACGTCTTCCTCCTTCTCCTCCTCCTCCACGTCTTCCTCCTCCTCCTCATCCTCCTCCTCCTCCTCTTCCTCCTCTTCGTCTTCCTCCTTTTCCTCCTCCTCCCTCTCTTCTTCCTCTTCGCGGTCTCCGCCTACCTCTCCTCTTCCTTTCTCTTCAACCTCCTCTCCTAGTCCTCCTCCTTTCTCTTCAACCTCCTCTCCATTCCACTCCCCTCGTCATTCCCCCCCTCCTCTCCCCCTCCCCTCCCCCCCCCCCTCCCTCCCACCAACCACACCTCGCTCCATCATCCTTTCCTCCTCCTCCTCCTCCTCCTCCTCCTCCTCCTCCTCTTCCTCATCCTGCTCCTCCTCCTCCGCCCAATCACTCCTCCGTCTCCCCTCCCCGAGCTCCCACGCTCCTCCTCGTCGTCCTCCTCCTCAGCCCCAAACTTCGCCGGCCAGCCACAAACCAGAAGGGGGAGTCAGCCCCAAGACGGAGGCACGGAGAGGCGAGAGAGGCGCGCGGGTCTCCCCAGCGAGCGTGACGATGACGACGTGGGCCAGCGTCACGGCCAGCCTGGGGCAGGCGAAGCAGCTTGACTCGCCGAGCGCGCTGCGCTACTCGCAAAAGTGCCGACTCGCAAACGTCCAAAAAAAAACCTGCCTGGTTTGACGTAATCTATCGTCGATTCCCCGCGGGAGATCCAGGCCATTTGCGAGTACAGGGCAGTTTTGAATGTAGGATGTTTAATACATGATGAATTCATGAAGGAATTAATGCATGAACGCATCGTTGTTTTTAGTACTAGATCCCTGCATTTTCACGCGGAGCATGTATTGAAAACGGCACTGTAGTAACTTTGCGACCAGTGCAACGAGCTCGTCGATTGACAGGCGAGCTGCACGCACTCGAGCACACATCGGGGGCGTCCACAAGGAGGGGCCCGAGGCACGCGCGCGGCCCTGGGGGGGGGAACCAAGGGACGTGTTGAGATAGAAGGAGTCCTCCTCCTCCTCCACCTCCTCCTCCTCCTCCTCCTTCTCCTTCTCCCCCTCCTCCCCCTCCTCATCCTCCCTCTCCCCCTCCCCCTCCCCCCCCTCCTCCTCCTCTTCCTCCTCCTCCACCTCCTCCCTTTCATCCTCCTCGCGAGGGGGGCGTTCGAGAGGGAGGCGTCCAAGAGGGTTGGACGCAAATCATGCCCCGAAGCACGTGCGCGGCCCAGGGGGGGACCAAAAGACGGGTTGACAGAAGAAGAGGGGCCATGACATCGGGGGAGATACCATGGTACGGGCCTAAGGCTTCCTCCCCAAAGTCATCCCCCCTCTTCGCAGCCGAAAAAGGGGTCGGGCAGGTCGGGCCATCGCTTAGGACCTAGTAGGCGCGATTGAAGGGCCATTGGGTCGTGTTAGGCCAAATGAGCCCCAACTGAGCGGAATTAGGCCGAAGCAGCCGTGGACCTACCAACGCCGAGCCTGATTTCACACTCCCAGGAGGTCTCAGAATGTGCTCGTGACAGACTGCACGATGGCCTCGAGACCTCGAGGGCACCCCTGCACGCCCCGTCGCCGAATGGTGCCGGGGACCTCGGAGACCTACGTCGCCCGAGCACCCTCGGACGACGACCCCTGCCGCAGAAGCCGGGCGCCCGCCTGAAGCCCCGGCGACTCGCACCGTCGCATCGGGGCGTCCAAAGAGTGGGGCGCGTCCGAGAGGGGGGCGCGCCACATGGCCCGAGGCACGTGCGCGGACGAGGGGGGGGGGCCAGGGAACGCAGCGAAATGAGAGGTGGGGGCCGTGCAAATGCTGGGACCTGGTTAGGACCCCCCGCTCCTCCTCCTCCTCCTCCTCCTCCTCCTCCTCCTCCTCCGCCTCCTCTTCCTCCTCCTCCGCCTCCTCCTCCTCCGCCTCCTCCTCCGCCTCCGCCTCCTCCTCCTCGTCCTCCTCCTCCTCCTCCTCCTCCTCCTCCTCCTCCTCCTGGACGCTCCCGATCGTATGGTTCCAGACCGCGCGGTGACCTCGGAATCCCTCGGGCCCCCAAAGAACTCACCGCACGGTCCGCCACCGCGCCGCACGGTCCTGGGGGCACTGGGGGCCCCGGTCGCCCGTGGCGTCCTCGGGGGACGACCCATGTCCCGAGGCCGCGCGGCGACCCCGAATCCCCACTGACCCACCACGCGGTGTGGTCACCACACCATCGGGGGCCCCCCGACCCTCAAACCCGGAGCTGGCACGGCCGAAAGGGTGCGGAGAAAAGGACTACGATGCCCAACAGCAAACGTGATCCCAAACCGTCAGCGGCCACTGTGGGTCAAGCGACCCTCAGCTCCAAGTGGGCCACATCCGTGGCGACACCAACAACTATCCCTGTCCCAAACGGACAGGAACTGCTGTCGGTATGTGAGCTAACTTTCTCCGTACAGGGCAGTGCTTTAATACATGGGATGTTTAAAAACATCGGATGTGTTAATACATGCTTAAGTTATGAATCAATGTGTGCATGAACTCGTCGTTGTTTTTAGTACTGAATCCCTGTATTGTTAATACATGATCCGCACGCGGAGCATGTATAAAAACGGCACTGTGCCCGCTTCGTTCGTGTTGACCATTAAAGAGCACCTCTTCGGGCTGGGATGAGGGGCCCTGTTATCCCAGGGCCCTCAACCCAAGAGGGCTCCAGGACGGCCCTCCATGACAGCACGAGAAGAGGCACAAGCATTAGCTGCTTGGCTGTTGCAGGATGTTGAGGTTCTCGCCTTGTCGGGTTTGCGACCGCCTGACGTGACCCCAAATCGTTCCAAAGCATATCCAAGTCATCCCGAAGAGGCGCCCAAGAGGCATCTCCTGGCGCCAGTATCGGCTCACCTTGGCCCCGTCTTGGGTCAGAGGGGGCATCGCCTCCTCCTTCGAAGCTCCTTGCAGCACGACGTTGGGTGTACCAGCGCGCTCGCCTCTCTCTCCTGCTCTCTTTCTACCTTTCTCTCTCTCTCTTTCTTTCTCCTCTATTTCTTGCTGTATGTCTCTCTCTCTCTCTTTGTATTCTCTCTCTCTCTCTATCTCTCTGTTTCTCTGTTATGCTGAAGGTGCATGCCTCACATGAAATCCGCCACGGCGCCCATGGCACGAAGTGGAGTGCCCCAAGGCAACTGTGCTACTGCAGCCAAAACTCTAAATTGTTCATGGTCTGGACACCAGGTTTCCAGGGCGCTCTCAAGCGGGGCTGGGCGCTACTGGGCTGTTTCGCGTGGGCTTCTGGGACGTTGACCCCCAAGAAAATCACCCGGAACAAACCACTGAATTCTCCAGGAGCGCCCCGGAGGGTCCACGACTGCCCCGAAATGGCGCCAACAGGTTGCCCTGACTGCCGATGATACCCTCCGCAAGCCCTGACTGCCAGATTGCCAAAGACGCCTCCAAGACGCCCCCAAAGGCCTTCGAAAGCACTCCCCGCAGAGCCCCAAGAGGCGAACAGCATGCATTTTCTAGAGGCTCTGGGAGGACTTGGGCGTTCTCGCCTTCCCGACGCTCCAAGACGGCACAAGAGGCCCCCGAACTCGCCCCGAGACAGCCCACGAGGCCTCCACGACGAAGGCCCCAAACCAGCCAAAAAGGCACCAAAAGGGTCCAAAAGGGGCCCCAGGCGGCCCAAGGAGCATCCAGGACGGCTCCAAGGGAGGGCCCTGACGGGGGGCCCGAACGGACGTGTCTCTAAAGGACCCCCTCCGCTTTTTGAGCACATCCAATGCGTCTCCAGGAACGCAGCCCGGAACGCACGGAGGCGGCATCCAAGCCTACGCAGCGACGGCAAGTGTGGTCACAATTACAAGCCTGCCGCCGCTTGGCGAGCCAAGGTAAAAAAAACCCAGTGGAGAGGCGCAATCATGGCGGAGGGCAAGCCACGGGCGCACGTTGAGCCTGACTGGCAATAAAAAACGAAAACGTCGATACAGAAACGCGCAAGCACCCCCATGTCTCTATAGGTTCCCCCCCCGTTCTTCAGCACAGCGAGTGCGCGTCTCGAGGGCGCGGCCCGGGACGCAGGGAGGCGACGGCCAAGCCCACGCAGCGCGTGGCAAGTGCGATCACAATTACCAGCCTGCCGCCGCTAGTCGGGTCAAGGCAGCAAGCTCCCCAAATCGCTTCAGCATCAGAGGTGCGCTCTCTCTCTTCGGTGGCAGCAGCGACGCGTGCGGCGGCGAGATCTTGGCAGAAGCCTTTGGCGTATGACTCGGCGACCTTTTGCCACGGCGCTCGGCGTTTTGGATGAGGCCCAGAAAGCTGAGGGCGAGGGCGACCAGAAGAGCTGCAACGTTTCCTGCCGCAGCAACGTCTACCTCGAAGATCTTGCACTAAACTCTATGGCGCGTTCCCAGATAAGAAATGAGTCCGCTTTCGCCAGGCCGCGCTGTAGCTACAAAAGCCGAGGGTCACTTAGACGGCGTCTGCGGCAGCTGCCCGCCGCCGCAAAGCTTGTTTTTGTTTCGCATCACGCTGCTGCGCGGGTTCCCCGAGAACCGCCGTATGGGGCAACGGCCGAAGATGTGAATTAAGCGAAGAGTAACTCCCATCAATGTGTTGCCATGCCGCAGCGCGGAATGGTCTTCTTCAGTGAATAGACCTCTGTCTCGAACACCCCGCGGCGCGGCGTAAAAGAGGTTATAATGAGACGTGCCCCCCTGCGCGCGCTTGAGAGACTGGCGCAACCGGTCACCAGCGGCTCGGAATAGATGAGCCCTTCGCTAGCGTCTACTTCGATTCGGCGAAGCACAGCTTGATCGGCCAAATCCGGATGCTCGCCATACCTGAGATCCCCACGTCTGGCCGCGAGGCCGCGGTGGGCGATGAACCGGCCGACCCCGTCCAACTCCGCGGCGCAAATCCGCCAAGCACGGCCGCGCTGTCACAGAGACGCGAAGGGCTGGGCGGCAACGCGGCCGAAGAAGAGCGCCTCGGGCTGCTCGTCGGCCTTCTTGAACTGCGCGGCCCGCCGCGGCTTGAACTGCGCGGCCGACTGGTTGCGTTCTCGTGGCGTCTCCAGGAAGACTCGCGCTGACATCTGCCCCTCTTCGTGAGCTCGAGGTCGCGATGGCGGCCTGGAGGCTCAGTGGCGCCCCCGAGTGCCTGCGCCGGTATAGCGCTTGCGCGTTGAATTGCAACCTTTCGCGCGCCCCGTTGAACTCGGCCACCGGCTCCGGGAGGGCGCGGGGGGGCAGCGGCGACGCGGAGGGCGCAGCGGCGACGGCGGAGATCGCCGTGGGCAGCCGCGGGCAGAGCTCATATTGGTCAGGCTGATGGCCGACCCCATCGCCCTGCATCTGGTTGTTGCGCGCGGCGGCCAGGCTGCCGGAGAACAGGGTCGCTGCGCGAGTCTCGGCGCAGGATGGTCAAAAGCACGCCGGGCCCGTGACGGGTCGCAACCGCCCAGGCAACGCGCGGCCCCATCAGCCAGAAACTGCGGCAACACAGGTCCCAGATCACGGCAAACCACTTCGCCCTCACTACTGGGTTGCGCGACCGTCGTCCACAGCGGCGGCGCCAGCCCGTCAAGCGACGCCAGGCCCAGGGGAGTCGCGGGCCCCCG